CAGCTCAAAAGGTTAATTACAATATTTGCATTACGCCTGTTTTAATGCAGCAGTGTTCTTTGTTCCTGCTTCTAGCGGCCTGCAAAGATCACCGCAAAGCTCTGGAGGTGTCTCAACACTCCGAGGAGATGGGGCTGATTCTCGGCGTGTGCGCTGGAGGTCTGGTAGTCCTCATCCTCCTGCTGGGTGCCGTCATCATCATCATTAAGAAAGGGTAAACAGCTCCTGATAATCGCTCGCTACAAAACATGCCTCATTATGCACAATCACACCGAATCTCCCACATTGTTTTTTTTTTTTCCCGCCCCTTTATGTTTTTTTTTGGAACAGTTCAGTGATCAGTTTTTATACTTGCTGAACTTTTCGAAAAGGTCACGCTTGTTTGGGGGAAGACGCTGGACCAACAGCCAGCGCAGCGCGTTGTTTTCCTTCCCTTATGGCGCCGCAGAGGGACCAAACAACTCTCATCTGCGGTGCCTATCTGAGTGTGAAGTATTTAATTAAAGGCGGATGCAATTCAATTAGACACTTAATTACGCACACCAAGCACAGGCCTGACCCTCAAATGAGATGCTAATTGGGAGGGAAAAGGTGTGCTTTTAGAGATTATTAGCCAATGATCCCACAGGTTTGCAGAAAATCATCTGCACCCACGGCTCTGCAGTTATTTAGCCGTAGTCCTCCCCGAGTGAAAGTCTCAAATTGGGCTTAACCTGCCCGACTTAAATAAGACATATTGAAATCTAAAGAAGCTGACATGCCAAATGGGGAGTTAGTCAGAGTTCCACCGATCATTATTGAAATTGCTGACGCAGCGTTCAGGGTAATATTGAATAATGTTGATTGTGAGAGTCACCACTGCTCGGCACATTAGCCCGGGTTTCCTCTCCTAAGCCACCGTGAATTTCGCTCTTAGAGAATTGATTGCTAAATTTGCTGTGACAGGAAGCCACATGGTCTAGTCCTTGAAGTGTAACACTGAGACATATTCGATTGAAAGAAACGCACATTTTTCTGCCTCGCTGTGGTTTGGTCTGTCAGCACCTGCTTGATACGCTCGCATGTGTCATATGGCCGCCTGCACAGCCGAACCCATGAGAGGATGGTTCTCATTTTCGCTGTAATCAATGCATTCTGCCCTCAGCTGACATTGCTTTCATCTCACATCTCTTCTTTTTCTGGATTTCTTTTTTTTTTTCTCCTTCTCCTGCACTCTTGCCAGAAGGGACTACTACTCTTATTATCCGTAAGTGACTCCACCTCTTTGCTTTTCCATCGTTTTTGATCCATCATGCACATGCTCGTGCTCTGGCTGTCAGTCATAAATTGTAGACGAAAAACAATGAAGCACTTTTCTCACCAAATCTATCATTTCGCCACCTTTACCTTCACGTTGCTCCTACAACAATGTGTTTTCTCACTTTTTTTTTCTCTCTGTTACAATCTCACCCGTATGTCAACTATCCGTTTACAGGAAACCGGTGAACATGAATAAGACGCCCATTACGTACCGGCAGGAGAAGAGCCACATGGGCTCCATGGAGCGCAGTTTCACAGATCAGAGCACCCTACAGGAGGATGAAAGGATGGCTCTTTCCTTCATGGATGCGCATACTTGCGGCACGCGAAGTAAGACAAAAGCACCTGAGACTGCTCGCACGTGCACCGCACAGTGTACACAAGCTTAGCGTTGTTGCACAGTGACGCACGTCTCTCCTCACTTTGTAATCTTGCTGGCTGTCACTCATCCACTCCATAAATGTTTCAATCAGTTTCCAAGATAATCATCATCCTGTGTGAGAAATATTCCTCAGTGAGAGGACTGTCACCGCCTGCAGCTGTTGCACAAAGAATCTCACGAGAAAGCCTGAAAGTGGCAGAAGTGAAGAAACTTATTTGTATAGATTTAGATAAGATAAAGTTTATTGATCCTTACCTGGTAAATTTACATGTTACAGCAGCTGGATGCAGATAAAAGCAGGACAAGATTACAAAAGTACAAAGAGGCTAAAAATAAAGATATAATTAGTGTACAAGTTACAGTGAATTTACATATAGATATGTACATGAATGACATGATAAATATACAGATGTACAGTTATTGCAAGATGGATAGTGTACCCAGCACTTCTGTTGTTGCAGTCAAAACGTTGCTGAGAGAAAACACCAGTGTTAGCATGATGTTCTGGGACATGAAGAGCTGTAAGAGAACAGCGTTACATTCAATACATGATTTGTAATTCACTGCTTTCTAATATTGTCACAGAGGAGTAAAGACAAAGTTGTTTACTGTGAAGTTAGTACAGATCCTGATCTGTTTGATGTATACAAATGCAGACACCTTTGCTGAGACAAAGCATTTCAAACACAGACTGTACTGTATGTGTTAGTAACGACATACAAAGTGCCATCATGTGATCCAATATTATCCAATATTATCCAATATTATCGTGCAAGTGCTACAAAAGTTGGTTAGTATTTAACATCGTAGCCCTGTTCTCCAAACTCTCACTAAAGCTGCAACTGTGTGGTTCAGGTGACGCTCGCAGTTCGGTGAATGAGGCCAGCAGCCTGCTGGGAGGCTCCCCGAGGCACCAGTGTGGACGCAAAGGCTCGCCCTACCACACCGGACAGCTGCACCCGGCCGTGCGGGTGGCTGACCTCCTCCAGCACATCAACCAGATGAAGACCGCCGAGGGCTACGGCTTCAAACAGGAATACGAGGTGAAAGAGCGCCGTTACACTCTTTCCTTACACTCTGACATTATGAGACAGCACAGTAAGCTATTACTCTTCCACTCTGACAACATGAAATGAGCAGCGGTGCAAAGTATCGCTGCCGGTGCGCTGCTTTGGAGTGCTGTGGACAATTACAACAGAGGGCAGTATTATTTTAGCGAAAAGTGTAAAATGTCCATATTCGCAGCATGATTGTGTTCTCAAATAACCGGTTTAAATTCAGCAGCATGTAAATGTAATTGGTCCATTCGCTCCTAACATACAGCAAGTGAGAGAACCAAAGGCAAGGACGCCGAACTCTAGTGTTATACATAATTCAACATTGCAATTTGAGGCTTTTTCACCTTTTAGTTTAGTTTTTTTTGTGTTCTGTATTTTAGATTTTTATTGAATTTTCTAAGAGAGAGAGAAAAAAACCATTTTCATTACTCACAGAATTTCTGCGACACATTCAGGTGATCTGAGATGTGAGTTTGTATAATCCCCTCTCAACCTACATGTTACAGTATTTATAATTTGTAAATATTTCCAGGCAAGGTTGGACCACAGTGAAGCCGGCATCTGTCCATAGCAGGACACCTTACAGTCAAAGTGAAATTATTCATTTTGATGTCAAATTTTGATTTATAATGAAATGAAATGAATGAAATGAAAAATACTTTATTTATCCCAGAAGGGAAATTCAATCTTGTAAAAGCTCACTTTTTTTTAAAATCAATATAACATACATTCTATACAACAACAACAACCATCAGTCAGTCAGATTTGTTTTTTAAGGTGATGGCTGATGGCAGGAAGGAACTCCTGTATCTCTCCGTTCGACAGCGAAGCCCCCTCCCACTAAACACACTCTGTTGGTTCTTCACTGTGTTGTGGAGACGGTGAGAAGAATCCTCCATCATCTTCATCATCTTGTGCAGCATTCTTTTTTGAACAATCAGCTCCAGTGGTTCCAGAGTTATCCCCAGCACAGAACCAGCTTTCCCCATCAGCTTGTTTAGCTTCTTTAAGTCTCTGGTTCTGATGCTACTGCCCCAGCAGACGGCTGCAAAGCTGATTGCACTTTCCACAACAGACTTATAGAAGATCTGCAACATCTTGGTGCAGACACTGAATGATCTCAGCTTCCTTGAGAAGTAGAGTCTGCTCTGACCTTTCTTGTAGATGTAGTCAGTGTTGCATTTCCAGTCTAGTCTGTTGTCCAGCCGAACTCCAAGATATTTGTAATTTTCCACCACCTCCACCTCCTCTCCCAGGATGTAGACAGGACCATGATGCTTCTATAGTGGCTTCTTCTGGCTGGAAACAAACAAACAGGTGTCAAAAGATGAGGAGATATTATGTTTTAGATGTTAATGATACATTTGAATTGTTTTGATGTTTGTTTTTTACCTTTTTTACAAAAAAAAAAAAGAAAAATCCATGTTCAAGTTGTGGAGAAAATGCACCTTCTGTACCACTCCAGGTGGTCCAGGTAATATGTACCCTGTTCTACAGCATTCTAATACACTATACATCACTTATAAGTACATCCGGCCACATGGTGAGTTGCTATTTTGGTCTATTGTGGCGTGCAGCTGCTCAAACGCAGGGGCAAGACTATAAAGTCATATTCAAGTATGTCCAAGTTCCTGTGGCTGAAGTGCAAAGCAGAATCAGAAAGTGCAAGAAGCTCCACACAGAGAAAAACCTCAAATGGCACAGGAGGAAGACAAAAGTGACTCCTGCACTGACAAGAATGGCCGTGAGAGAGGCCAGGAGGAGTGCAAGCATCACCACTAAGGTCATCATGAGGAATCTGAGTTATTCTGGTAGCATCTCAAGATAGACATTGTCTGCATTGACGCTGGTCTCCACGGACCGAGAAAGACTCCACTTCTCAAAGACGGGCACACAAAAGCACACCTGAACAAAAAGCTTTTGGTCGACAGCGCTGTTGAAATGAGATGAAAATACACACAGAAATGTGGCTTTTGTTGAAAGAAAGAAAGGAGAAGTGTTAAACCCCAAAAACACAGTCCCCACGGTCAGACATGATGGTCGAAATGTGATGCTTTGAAGGTGTTTTACAGCCAATGTAGCCGACGACCCTGTAAACATAAACAGCTTTAGGAGAAAAGACATTAAGATTATGAAGGAAACCACATCAGTCAGCAGAAAAACCTGGGCAGCAAAGGACTTTGGGACCTCAAACATGCAAAGAGGTCAAGAAATATAAAACAATATCAACCTGTCCGACAGTATCTATCCATGTCTTTTTTTTATTCCATCAGTTTCCAACATTTGCCGTTTTGAATGACAGACCGTAGAATCTAAGGTCCAGCAGATTTAGTCCTCGTTTGTCCTGATTAAACTATTTCCTTTCATTTGAAGCTGATTATCGTCATACCAGCAGACAGCAGACAGCAGTTAGCATTGTGACGGGCAGCATTGTTTCATTTTCACACACAAAATGAGAAAGTTACCTCCACGTATGCGTCACCTATTGAATGTTTTGCATTTGTTTTTTGTACCAAGGTTGCCAGGGTTGTTTCACAATCTGAGTTCTCATCGTGAGAGAAATGCTTCCTGCATTTTCCATAGTGTTGTGCCATCAGTGAGGAGAAGTGTCATACTCAAACAGTTGTGACAGGAGTACTTTGGAGGTGTGGAGCACCATAGAAGTGTCATTGACATTGAGTCAAAGACACTCAAACATAAAGCAGCTCCGCCTGCTTTTGTCAATGATGCACAAGGTAACCGTCTGCATTGAAACTGTAGGTTGTGGTATGTGACTAATGGGTGCCTTTGCTTTTACCTGTGCACCACATAACTTAGCTGATGTATTAAACTGGAGACCTGCAGTTGACACATCAATACATCTTATAACACTAAACTGCATTTTCATTTACATTTTAAAAGAAATGCATGTAGAGACGGACATATCTGCTCACACAAAGGGCTGCAGTGTAGTCGGAAAAATCCTGAGCCGCAGAATCTGAGGCATTATTTAGTACCAGGACTTCAACCCAGTTTAGTGTTTACTTGCAGTTAGGTAACCACACGGTTAGATTTAGAAAAATATCATGTTGTGGTCGACACCGTCAAAGTGATAACTGCATGTTTGTCACTTTGTTAAACTCAGACACTAAAATTACTTGGTTAGGTGTTGGAAAACATTTTGGTTAAAATACGACACTTTCACAGTGTGTTTGAAGCTTCTGCTCCATTTTCTAGTTTCCAAAGTCGGGACGTTCCAGTGAATCTAATAAATAATTAGTTGGCTGAAAAGGAGCAACTCTAAATTGAAAAAATATCAAATTTAGAAATGTATTGGTAAAAAGTCAATAAATGCAGTTTTGTCGTATGGGAACGTTATTTTTGGGGGACAGGGCGGCCATCCATCCATCCACTGAACCATTTTAAAGCAACTTATCTGGGTTAAAGTCGCAGCAGACAGCTTCCTCTGAGGTTTGTCCAGGTGCTTCCACAGCAGCCGGAGGGTATCACCTCTTGGACATGTCCTAGTTCTACCCCGAAGCCTCCCTGAGCAGAAGTGGATGACCTTAATTGGCAGCACCGTTAGCACTGCAGGCCTCGCTCAAAGACACGGAGAGATTCTGGGTTTGTGTACTCGGCAGAAGAAGGAGCCTACGGTGTAAGAAACTGATGCCAAACCCCACATATAAGGAACTTTAAATATATTCAGGGCACGATTTCTTGTCTCACCCCGATGGTATCATGATGAAGTGCCTCACATAAGTTTGTTTGGTCTTCTTTGTTGGCTGTAAGTCAGCAGCGAGAAAGTTCATGTTCAGTTATTGCATGTTGTGGATAACTGGGAGCTTCAAGAGGCCATGTTAGTCAGAAAGGTTCTTGTGAGTGGTGTGGGAGGCCATCAGTCTGACATCACCGTCCTCACCACCCACTGAAATTAATTACCAAGGTTAAGAAGGCATCTGGATCGCACCAATGCTGTGCATATGAATAAATCATCCTCATTTGAGCCCAGAGAAGACCTCTGTCGTGACGGCGGGCCTGATGAGGTTAAATGCTTCCAGCTCTACCTCGTGAGTCGCCCTGTCCACTGCTAACAGATTGCAGCAACGAGTGGAAGGGGCAGTCTGGGAAGATGAAAAGCCACAGAGGGATAAATGTGTGAGACGAAAGCTCCTCTTCCCTCTAACCTCCAAATATCCATTCCCAGTAGCGATGTTTATCCCCGCCTGCAATATATGTTGCAATGCAAATGCACCATAATTTGCAGAAGACTGTGCTGCAAATCACTTACTTGGCAGATCACTGCTGCTTGGTTAGGCTAGGTTCCTTTCTTTTTTCTTTTTCTACTACAGAGGGTTAGGTCTTGATTGAACGGTGAGCACAGACATGCTTCTTATGCCGAACGCTGCTCCTGCCGTCTCTATCTGGCGGTGGCCATCTCCAGTCGTGTGATTCAGGCTACATAACGAAGGTCTCTGAACGTGTCTCCCCAGCGGAACGATTGCGGCTGAGAGTTGAGCTCACGCACCCTGGGGAGAAGTCCATCTCTGTCACCCGTGGCCTATGGCGTTCATGAAAAAAAAAAAAACAGAAAACATCTTTTGTCTGTGGTTCGTGGTTTCCCCCTCTGGAACTCTGCTTGTAGACTCATTAAACTGTCCCTCACGGGCAAAACACACTCCACTCTAAAAATCAATACACACCTCTTTGTGTATGTGTGTGTGTGTGTTTGTTTTTTTTCTTCTTTCCCCCTCTGTGGTAAGAGTATGTGTTTTGATGGAGTGTCTCTCTCTATTATGAAGGAAAATGATGAGGAGTATCATATTACACTCCCTTGGCAGGTATAGGTTTTTTATTTCCCTCAAGACTACATGTGTTCTGTAAAAACATTGATCAAGAATTTACAGTGAGTTGTAAAGGGACTTATATGTGTGGCAGCCGCTGTCATATTCCCACCGCAGAAAATTACGAGTAAACAACGGCGGAGCTTTACTGGAGAACTCAAA